GAGATTGAGCCTAGATTTTCAAGTAATTTAGGTCGATTAATGAGAGAGCTTTGTGTTCAGACCCTACCACTCAATAAAGTTGGTAACTGTTGATCTGGACTATTCTGGGAAGTGTAAACTTCTTGGTAGTGGTCCTAATTGTGCTCCAAATCAGTTTTTGAACGTCCTAGGTGGGATGTCTAAAAATTGGCTACAGTGTTTCAGACGGGTTCGACGTTATTTCGTCTCTCCGATTTCAGCAAGGAATAAGTTTGTTTTTATTTTTTTATAATTTGTTTGTGCTTTGAAGTTTCTGTGACGGTTAGATTGGTTTTACGGGTTAGGGTTGCCCTATGCCTAAGCTTCCCCCTTTACCGGGGATTAGGACTGGCTAGTAACTAGTGAAGTAGTTAACCAAACGCGGTCAAATACAACTAGGTGGATATTGAAAGAGATTGATTATTGTATCTTTGTGCATCGAGTCAACACAAAACACATGTAATAGAAAGGACGCAACACCTATACCAGAGATATGAAAACTTTTACTATTTATAAAACGAAGAATATCAGGTGACAGGACTATGAAAACCAGATGTCGAAAGTGATGTGACTATGAGCAGTGATAATTTGTGTTCGAAACGTTATCCAGTAAATAATACTGTATCACTGTGAGCTATATATCAAATAGACAAATCTAATGTAGAATTGAATTCTACCGGTGCCCGTTTTTACACTTTTATTAACAAGTTTGATCTAACTGATGGATAACGGCTAGCACTGAAATCCAGCGCACGTATTTCGCCCCGTTTGGGACTCATCAGTTGGACCTACCTGCACTCCGGGAAGTGATGTTCACATTTAAATTTTCACCCGAGGTCAATCCTTTCAGACTCTAGAGCGTTGTCTATCACTCCTTGTACGACGGGTATACTATATTCTTATATCCTATAACTTGTAGCTGTCGTGACTCAGTGACCTAGTGGATACCGCCTTGGTGGTTGAAGCGATCGGTCCTGAGTTTGAGTCCTATTGGAAACAACAACACTCGCTGTGAAGCAGGTATATCCATCTGACGAGTCTTAAATAGGATGAAACGCCTGTCCTCGATTCCACTACTAGCCACTATTTATCATTATTATTATTATTATTATCGAGACATCTACACAGGAGGCCAAATCCCAACAGTCACCGATCAATTCGGTCCAACCAACGACACAGATTCACAAGTTATGATATCAAGGTATATATTAACAAGCACTTTCTGCCCATCAACTAGATATCACTTACCTACATTATGTATGATGACTGCGCTGACCACAGCTCTGCTTTCTTTCGAATATAAGTTCTTTGATATATGCTAAGAAAACTACGTTATAGAAAACTCTTCTATCAAATCTTCAGGTGTACTTATCATTTCAAGGGCAAACTAATTCATCCAGATAATTTTCGGGTGACGTCAGAAATATATTTATTCATCTTAGATAATTTTATCGAGTATGTTATGTAGTATACTACTAAATGAAACTAGATTGCCTGATACTATTTATACCGGTTGATTACTTATTCTATTCTAACTTCACTCCGTTGCGTCCAAACTATCTATACAATGAAACGTATACCAAGCGTGTGATTGGTCTAAGTTTGCACCAATCAGTGAATAGAAGATGCATTATGTTGTGCTTTTCTTTGTCTAGTGTGATTACTAAACTCCATCCACTAATATGCATAATCCCGCCTATCTTATACCATTGAACATTAAATACAGTACACTCCAGTGCATTTTACCTTCGAAAGGTAAACTGTTAAAAGTGTGTTATGTGATGAGAGCCAATCATCAGGAAGCCCTGCTTGCTTTCCGGTACTCATCAGCAAAGAGGTGTGTCTGGATGCATGTTAAAACTGGCGTTCTTCTGGAGGTTCCAGCTGGCGTCACCCCGTGCTGAAGTCAGAGACTTAACAACTGAGTTATTCAGACTGTGACTGACTCGTTGTAGGACTAAATGATGTACACAAGCTGATCGCCAGTGGGTAACCTATATAGCCGTCACGAGTATCTTCAATGCAACTGTATGAGTTGGAAGATATGACAATGCAAGAAAATGATCGAAAGTGTAGACTTCAAACTTCCCCAACAATTTCATTAATAATTTAAAGCATACAATAAAGTTGTTAAAAGCTTGGAGTAACCAACTGCTTGATTTAACTATATTTTGATGTCAAAATGAGATTAGGAGGAATGATAAGGCAGTTTACTGTGCTATAATGATCCCTACTCTACGCTTAAAGAGAAGTTTTGATCACATAGTATTGTAAAGTGATGTAATTGTCTCCTTTCGGAGGTAATATCAAATAGGGATATCAGACTGCACCCAGAATAACAAGTCTCTTTGTTGACGGAAATCAGCTACTTTCTCAGGAAAGACCAGTTGACCATCGAAACTTAGGTGTCTCCATCTAAATTTCGTTTGTAATTAGCAATACTTAAGTTATGCAGTATAACTGATGGCTAACAGTGAGATCCATTTTTGACCCGCCAGTTAGATGTACCTACATCCCAGTGTAGAGTGATATTATCCCCCACAAGATTCGAAACCAGTACTCAATCGCTTCAAACACCAAAGTGTGTTAGACATTATCCACTGGGACATATTGCTTAGTTATTTTATTCTGACTTTAACGTGTTTTATCAATGCATCATAATGATTGCCGGTCCCATTCATTTATTTGACACTTTCACCGTATGAACGTTTATCTATCCTTGAACTGCTCAAATTTCTCGACGGTCACAATGACAACGAAAATCTAGACAGATCAACTCACCTACTGACTCTAAAGGGAACATATTCACAGCAATGCTATACAATAGATCTCTCTAGTACTTCATCTAACAGAGGATATACCTTCTCGATAATGCTGCACACCTTAAGATGAACAGTATGTAAAACCCACTGTCATAGGTTCGCAGTCTTCAAATGTTTATTCCTTTGCACCACAACATCTAATTCTAATGACGTAAATCTATACTGCTGTGAATGGCACAGCTTGAAGAGAATGAAATGCTGGGACATAGATATTCACTTGAACTACATGATTAGATGGAAACTTACTGATTCTCAAAACCGTCAGTTTGGATTCTTTTGATCACTGAAGCTATATGCATAAGAATTCATGATAAAATAGACGTTTACTTGGCATAACGTGGCATTATGAAGACAAGTTAAACATATCGACTGCTTGTAACCGAAGTTTGGAGTTTTGCACGACCTTGGTGTCAACTGTGGTGAAAAAATTATGACTGAAAACGATCTAAACTTTAACACCCTGTGTATGTTAAAAAGTGATATTTCTTTGTTAGTTTCGTAACTCAAAGAAGAAAATGTGTATCAACCATTTGAAACCAACCCTATAAAAAGTTTGACAACCAGATCAATAAAACCTTGAAAAACTCTTCAAAGCAGAAGAAACAACAAAGCAGAGCAAATAGCGAATGAAATCGAATGGACCCATCCTTCCTCGGTTCTACGGCAGACCAAAACTACATAAACCAGACATCCGTCTACGAGCAATAGTCTCAAATCCGGTTACTCTAACATACAACATTCTAAGAGAACTTTAGAGAAAACTGAAACACCTTGTTCAATCATGTGAGCATTCCACCAAATCACCAACAGAATTCGTAGAAAAGATCAAAAGTATTAATAAGGAAGCGATGAATTAGTGGTATCCTTCGATATCACAACCATTATACAGACGTCAGTCAGACCCCAATAGGCCAAGGACACTATGTCCCATTCCTAGATGTTTCAGTCAGTAGAATCAATGCCGGAAGTCAATGCATACTGATCAAATCCTCAACTACAGTAGCAACAACCCAACAACACACAAATTCAGTTGCGTGTAGACTCTATTCAAAACAACGACAATACACTGCAGTACAACAACTTCAAGGAGAAATGAAGAAAATTACCTCATGTGCATCCTAAAGAAGAACGACTACCCACCAAACTTTATCACAAGATACCTATCCCGTACATCAACAACTACAAAGTCATCGACACTAATCGATAAACGCATCATCCTACCATACAAAAAGAATATATCAGAAATCACGACAACATTACTGAAACCACTTGGAATTGGTGTGGCTCATAAACCAACAAATTCCCTACAAACACTATTATGCAGACAAAAGGATCCAACAACAGTCAGAGAAGACAAACTGAATATCATCTACAAAATTAACTGCAATAACTGTAGTCAACAGTACATTGGATAAATTGGTCGCCCACTTCACCTTCGTCATTTACATGAACACCAATTGACTATTAAACGTCACATATGACACATAAGTCACCACTCATTCCAATCCACGTGGATAACAACTACAGACATGAATTCAATTTCGACAATGTACTACTCATCTTGGATGGAGAGAGGAAACACAAAGAATGTGAGAGAACTTCTAGAGGCTTGACATTCACGTCAATCAGTTGGTCAATCAGCAGTCAATACATGAATGTATTGACATAGACCCAATCTATCGACGAATGAGAAAAGTGATCAACAACAGAGAGGTCAGACGTGAAGCAGAGGAATAGGTAACAGGAAAATCTATACAGTCAGTCAATGAATGACACAACAACCAAAGGAGATAACCACCAATCAGAAAGTAGTTGGTCAGGGCAAGTTACTGAATCACTCACTCACTGACTGATGCGGGGATATAGACAGTTCACTTCACAGAGAAGTTAGTGGTGATGGATGATATCGTCTAGAGGGAGGATGAAAGTTCCACAATTAAACAACCCAACTGAGAGAACACATTATAACAAAGACTAGTAGAATGTTTTGACGTTTTTGATAGGGTTTAATGACCTCCCTTTTTTACCTTTCAGGCTCCGTAAAAGCTTGTAAATTTTTCAACCATTATCAATGTGATGATGTCTATATTAAATCCAAAATATAAGAGTAAAATATTTATTAATTTATTTATTTAATATCTAATTACTTAATTCATTTAGCAATTGACTTATGTCAACCAAATCCATGTCAAAATGGTGGATATTGTCAGCATACACTACATCCAGGTGATTTTCAATGTCGTTGTGCACCAGGATGGTCTGGTCATTGGTGTGAATTTCATTCAGATAATCCATGTAATATGTCTAAAATATGCTTTAATAATGGAAAATGTCATCAAGATCATTTAAGTCCTGGATTATTCAGATGTGAATGTGATAATCAATGGATAGGATCTGTTTGTCAGTTACGTAAGTTATATGAAGAAAATGAAAATATTTACAAGAATAATTTTTTATATTAAAATTGAAGGAGCTTTCGGTGACAAGCTGGCCATTTGTATCATTAATAATCAGCTGACATCTGGATCTGAATATACTTTATTGAATAAACAAATTATCATTTTCACCCTGATCTCATTTGAATTAAAGATAAGGAAATCTTTTCACTACTCATCTCTATAAGCAGCTGTAGAATAGTAATACAGTTCTGCTGTACAGCTATAAGACATGGTCATTAAAGGTAGACGAAAATAAGAGGCCTTTTGGTGTTTAATCATGGTGTCAAAAACACCAGTAACGCAGAAGCCAAGTTTAGAGTCCTAGAGAAGAGAAGAGAATCAGCTGATGCAGGCACGAACTCCATCGAATTAGATAGCTGGGACAAGTATTACATATACCTAGTCACCATCTACCTCGTTCCACAACGTCAGTTCAAGTTGGTAAAAGGGCAGCAGACTAAAATATCGCATTATTAAATGAAGTCCTTAACTCTTTGTCTGAGCAAGATGTGGACTAGTTGGTTGGGGTCGTGTGAAGACTGAAACGAGTAGTTGAAAACTCTAGGTACGATGGCTCAGAATCAATGTCAGCGACACAGATGTATCCACACTTTATCTTCATCTTAACCACTATACTGAATTCAGCATATTCTCATTCTTCCTTTTCTTTTTTACCTCTTCTGACAGATTTTTCTTTCATTCTTCATCTTCCATTTTGCTACTTTCATGATTACTCTGTTAATATGAAGCATGACAACTTTAACCGTCACTCATGTTTATGTTGACTGATTGTTGGGAAACTTATTCTCAGCGTGATAAATGTTGACAGTAAACTCCTTTCACCTTGAGCTGGTTTCGAACTTAGAGCCTTACAAACCAATAATTTCTGTTTTTGTTAAATTCATACGTTCTGTTGAAGGTACAAAGGATTGACTTTTTTCATTTCAAATTTAAGCTGAAAAGAATATTACAGCTGTCACATTACTGTCATGATGATACAAGTAAAAAACCATAAATCAAGGGAACAACATACAACTCCCCTTAAATATGAAATGAATTAAAAATTTTAATTTAACACTGCAACATAAAAGGTGGGTGGATAGAGAGAAAACAGAGATTGGAAGGTATTAAAATTACGTAATCAATGGTAGTTCCTTGAAGCAATTAGAGAATGATGGTTTGTGATATGATATACAGTCAAGAAATGAACGTGCTCAGTAAAATTTCAGGGCAAGTACTTTAAACAAAAGGTGATAATCAATAAAGAACAGTTCAACTAGTGTACAAATACACTTCAACTGATATTCGTTTAGTAGGAAATTAAATACAATTTAAAGATTTCGCTTACTAGATATAATCAAAGTAGAAAAAATTGTTAGAAACCACCTTAAACAAGCAGTAAATCTACAGGACAACAAAAGTTCTGAATTCTTATAATTTCAGCGGTTTGATGAACATCAATGATGTAATAAGAAGATTATTAATTAGAATGACATCAGTAGGAGAAACAATAGAAACCCTGAACTGCCAGACAGCTGTTTTTTCTTTCTAGTATTGGATTCCTCAGCTGTGCACACCCACGACCCCGTTAGGGACAAAACTTAAGACCTTCAGGTTCCACGGCCATCACATTACTATCTAGCAACTGGATCGAAATACGATAGTTCATATCTTCATAGTAGCTCAGTGGTAACATGTTGACGACAGAACGTGGAATTCCTAGGTTCGAACCCCGATGGGGTTATAAGTACACACTGTTGGGGAGTCAAGTGGTAGGGAGAAACGGCTTTCCAGTGCTCCCAGGCTTTCTATGGTGATGGCTCATTGGCTTTGTTATGGTTTCGAAGGCTGATGGTTATATACATATTCCGAAACGAATATAATACGCGCGCTTAGCTGACAGCTAACTTGGTACGCAAGTGTCCCTGACTGCAACCCCGGGACGAATAGAGAGAAGACTGAAGCTGGCAGATGGGAGAGTGTATTACTCCGACAATATAATATAATAATGAATCAATCCAAAACACGTGAATAAGTATATACATGACAAATGACCTTGTCAGCAATTGGAGAAATTCGCATAGTAAGAGTAAAAGTTAACCAATCAGCAATTAAATTACAATGGGGGCAGAAATAGACTATTAGTCATACAGTAAAAATAATGTGGGAATGACACGTTAAAATGTTCAGATCGATAATAATGTTTTATGCAAAACTGGGACATCACAACAGGCTTAAAGTCGACTTTCAACCAGTGAGTTTCAGGTTCAAATACCACCCCATCTACGGAGGTTTAAGCAGCTAGGTGTAGCTCATTGCCTACTGCATGACTGGCAACAAGGTGATTGAGTGGATTTCGACATTTCGATTTTCTGAATTAATCTCAAAGTTAAACTGCAAACATAGGCTATCCATAACCGGAAAACATTACTTTGCTTGTCTACTGTCTATCAGCTTCATTCCTATTGTGAACACTTGAACAAATCCATAGTTTGCATTTTATTCTATCAACAAAACCGCTGGTATACTATTTCTCATTACCGAGAGTAGAACTCAAACAATTACTGCTCTTCTAAACAAAGGATGTTCAGTTTCATCTGAATTTTGTTTGTAGTACTTGGCTGTCTTAACATGAGCTAGCTACATGTCATCAGAAATGTTGAAATGATCAGTTATAAACTGCCTATTATTATATTCCTAAATTAACCTCGTCGTCAAGTTGTCATCACTTTGTTTGACTGCAACTGACTTCGGTTGAGTCAGTTTTAAAACGTTAACCTTGAACTTGATAAGTCTTGAAACACTCTTGCTAGTCTCACATACACAATCCACCCATAAAAAGAGTCATGTAATTCTCCCTTCTAAACCATATACAATAGAACTGTTATGTTTTCGAAAACTACTATGCGCGATGACCGCTAACGATGCACGCATATCGAGTATTAACCACCAACGTTCAGTGGATTCCTAGTTGATTCCTGACCTGACTAATTGATGGAGAAGACACTATGGACGCTTAAAAACGCGTATTGGGGCAGAAAAGCCAGAAGGCCAAAATAAACGAAAATACAGCTATTATATTCGTAGTTCACCGTTAAAAATAATCCTGTTGATTGGGTGGTTCACCGTCAGTCTGTCTAATCGTAGACGTGATAACAAAGTACATTCTGAAATAATGGAGAATATTTGTAGCTCAGGTGGATGGTCTTGGTTGTAATGTGTTCTATGAGCTGGCTGGGTTGTTTAATCGTGAAGCTTTCATCGTCCTTCTAGACGACATCATCAGTACTAACTTCAGTATGAAGTGAGCTGTCAATATCTCTCCATGAGTGACTTAGTAGCTTGCTCTGACGACGTGGTCTGTGATTGGTTATTCCCTCCGATTGTTTTGTCATTATCTGTATAGACTTCCTTGTTGGCTGTTCCTCTGCTTCACCTCTAACCGCTCTGTCGTTTATCACTTTTCTCATTGTTTGATAGATTGGGTCTATGTCTATAAATCTGTTGACTACTGACTGACCTAAATGCCAAGCTTCCTAGAAGGAAACAAACAATCACAAACCACATCATCAGAGCAAGCCACTAAATCACTCATGAAGAGATATTGACAGCTCACTTCATACTGAAGTTAGTGCTGATGATGTCGTCCAGAAAGACGATGAAAGCTTCACGATTAAACAAACCACCTCGGAGAACACAATACAATCAAGGAAGTACATTCTGATTGGTCACTCACCATACCAAGCTCTTCTCTCTACCCTCAATAAGAACAACAAACCTGCTGTTTATTGGCCGAAGCTTTCAAGCGATATAGACCCATCTCTATATATGCACCTCAATTCTTGACCACAACGCACCATAATTTATCAAAATAAAACGACCGATTTTATGCACAAAAATATGGAACAAGCCATAATAACAGGTTTCACTCAACATGTAGTTATTTTTGAAATATAGATCATACGGAAACGGTTGATGATTCAACCAAAAGCTCTTGAACCGAGCTATGCAGTAAAGTTATCAATTAAATCATAAATGGAACGATTTTTAAAGCAGATAAAATAATGTGACTAATGACACAGAAATATCTCACCAAATGACAAACTGTATCCATTCATCATTTCGTTCGATTAAGCCATATCAGTTTGCATTCCTTCTTTTTGGTTAGTAAATAGTCGAAGTAAAGGTGTTTTGTCCCGTTTACGCCTCGTCAGCCACAAGGTGTTGTGTATTATTGGACATTTATTCTCTGTTACGTAGATTAAAAGTGGCATCAATCATGCTGTGACACGTAATCATCAAGCTTTAAGGTACCCACTAGTATTTTAGCTTAACTTTTCAATAAAACACAAGGTTCACTTAAAAAGTATGCAGCCTAACTACTTTAGAATTTTCTATCATGAATATCACTTCAGTAATGTTTACTTCAAATCGAGTCTTTATACTCTACACTCATGTTTTAGGTCGACCTGAGTCAAGAGCATGTGTTCAAGAAAATCTATGCAAGAATGGTGCTACATGCGTTGACTTGGGTAACAGTTTCAATTGTATCTGTCGCCCAGGTTTTGATGGTCAATATTGTGAAAATGATATCAATGAGTGTAATTCAATGCCATGGTGAGTTTGATTCTCATATGGATAAATGTGATATGAAATAATAATAATGATTACCATCACTATTATTAAGTAGCAACTCAGAAAATAATCGAATGAATACATACGTACACGTTGCGCTCAGTGGTGAATTATTTTTAAAAACCTTTTATTTCGTTGCTCATTCATAGTCGTAACTTTCTGCTGCTATAGAGGGTGGAATGTCTCAGCCTCTATAGGCGGATGGGTTCCTATGCAGGTGCCACGATACTCCCGGGATATCTATTCTACTGTAGTCTATTTGATGGCCAGCATCAAATGCAGGAAGTGCGTTTCGTCCTATTTGGGACTCTCCAGCTAGATCTACCTACACCTTAGTGAGTGATGTTGTTCCCACCGAGGCTCAAACCCAGTACCCTTCGCTTCAAACGCCAAATCATTATCCACTAGGCCATAGGGGCGCAAGAGCTACCACTTATCCAACACTTTGCAATTTGAAGTGGTTGGTACTGGGTTCGAGTCTCAGGGGGATTAACATCACTCACTAGGGTGCAGGTACATCCGGCTGACGAGTTCAAAACGGGACAAAACGCGTTCTATATTCCAATGGAAGTGATCGGATAAAAACCTTTCCTTTGCTAAGCAATTCCCACTTATGATCACTTTTAATTTGTAACGCAATGTATACAGTCTCGATTATGGCTTAGATGTATTTATAATTATATAGTGACTGGATACACCCATCGCAAAATATATCACACCATTACAGTGTATCATCTGAGAAAATGGTCGTAAAATATGCTACTTAATAACTTGAGTAGATAAAAATTACTCACACTGAACAGCACATTTCACTAAACAATGGACGGCTATTTCGTTCGTTTGGAGCCGAGCTCATCAACGGTGTACCCGGACAAATTCAGCTCATACATCCACGCATCACGCCTTATGATCTTGCTTTGATGAATAGTTTCCAACACGAACCTACTGTGCTGACACCACAGTTGAAAAGCTACTCAACTGTTAAAAATGTCAAGGTGAACCGTACAATTAAAAAAAAAATCATTTGCAAAGTGGTCATTCCATTTAAAGTGGTCTTGTTTTGCCGAAGGAAGAGGAACTATATCTTGCACGATATGTTTCAGACTTGACCCTACAGATACATTCCATATACCCTCAAAATATAGTAAAGCATCATTATAAGCGCAAAGCTTAACTTAACATTGGGATATGTTTTTGCTGGTGACGTTCACGAAACTTTGACCATAGACTCCTTGCTTCTTGTTTGTTATCATCAACCATGAGAGTTGCCGAACTGCTTGAGGCTACTGATACATTTTCCTGATGAATGTCAATAAATACGAAACACTTGTAGTGTAGTCTTTCATTTTCTGATTTTCAATTTTAAATCTAGATCACATCTACTGTTGGTGTTATATCATTTTGATTAAATGTCACGTCACACTCCGTGGTCGATAGAACTTAACCAAGCCAAATAATGAAAATATCATATAAGATCAGTTACAGTGATTGCCATTACAACTTAGACCGGAATTGGCTTAAGCAAGTGGTTCTAACGGTTTAATCTTAACGCTGACCTTGCTTGTGATTGGTCACGAATGTACTCGCCCAGTCTCGTATACTCAATTCATCCACACGTTGAATTATGTGATCTGACTCACCTTTCTGTTTAAAACTTAATTACTTGACCACAACGCACCATAATTTATCAAAATGAAACGACCGATTTCATGTACAAAATATGGAACAACCCATAACAATAGGTTTCACTCAACGTGCAGTTATTTTTGAAATATAGGACACACGGAAACGGTTGATGATTCAACCGAAAGCTCTTAAACCTGGCTACATAACAGCGTTACGAAGTAGGTCATAAGTAGGACAACTTTCAAAGTAAATGAAACAATACGTCCAGTGACACTTGTTTGAGGTTCACGTTGTCAACGTTTTCATCTATACTACAGTTACGATGTATGGTATATTATTTATTCAATTTGGATTACATCACCAACCAAGAACCTATCACTGAATAAATATGCAGAAGGAAGTGGAGATAGATTCAGCACACACTGAGAAGGCCAACTGGGGACATCACGCGCCAAGCCAGGCACTCGAGTAGAATCCAAAGGGGAAACGACGAGTTGGGCTTCGAGGTGAGGGTGACATGCAGGAGATGGTGTGAGGAAGAAATGAGAGCTTGTGGGCAGACACGGAGGCAGGTTGGAAAGATTGCAGATGCGAGAGTGGAATGGAGGCGTGCTACTGAAGCTCTATGTTCCACTAGGAACCCAAGGGAGAAATAACAATAATAATAGATTAGATCATTTGCTGATTGAAATGATGATCCTTTATTTATGCAGTTAACTATTTGATTGTTTTAACCTTCAGTTACAATAATGGAACATGTAAAGATCTCATTAATTCATTCGAGTGTGATTGCCCGAAAGGTTTCATTGGAACTGACTGTCGAATTAGTAAGTGTTCATGGAATAATTCTTCGAAATAGCAAATTATTTATCTTTTGTGATAATATATTGTAAACAATTATTAATGTATTAATGTGTTATAATGAATGAAGTTTTTGATAAGCTAAGACTGGTACTACTAGATAAAATCAAATTCACAATGGAATGATAAGTGACGTGAGAGTAAGACAAGACTATCGCCTACTATCATTGATGATCTTCTTGATTGTGGTCGACTGGATCATGCAGCAAACAGTGAGGAGTAAGAAGAGGGGCATAGGCTGACTGGATCGATGAAAAGACCTCAGAAGGAGATTTGGATTTCGCCGATATACTAATGTTTAATGTCGCACAAACTCGAAGATCTATAGACGAAAACTAAGAAGTGGACAGAAGAGGTGAGGCAGCGAAAATGGGACTTCAAGTGAATGTAGTGAAGACAGAGGTGAGGAAGATACCCAAAACAACAACAAGCACCAATCACCAAGAGTGAGAGAAACCTAAAGGAAGTCGTCTACTTCACTTACCTACCTAGGCAGCATCGTCTGAACTACAGGCATCGGCAGCACAGATGAGGATGCCGAAACCAGGATCAGAAAAGCAAACCGGGCTTCATTAGTCTGAAACCAGTGTGGAGATCTACTGCACTGCACTCCACTCAGCATAAAGCCTGAACAACATCCAGATTTTCAACACCAACCTCAGTCAAGTCAGTGCTCCTATATGGTTCAGAGACTTGGCGCGTTACGAAAGGCATTTCCAACAAACTACAGACGTTCATCAACAGCTGCTCACGCTCGATACTGAGGGTCACGTGGCCAGAATAATAAGAATAAGCAAGAAGGCAGTCTGGCTGGCTGAAAACGAACTAACCAAGAAGGTATCGCCGAAGAAATATTCAGAAGAAGGAAGTGGAGATGGATTGATTGTATTGGGCATACAGTGAGGAGATGGTTTGGGGATATCACGCGCCAGACTGGGCCAGGTAGTCGAGTCTAATTTAAAGAGGAAATGACGAGTTGGGCGTCGGTGCCGAGGGTGACATGGAGGAGATGGTGTGAGGAAGAAATGAAAGCTTTTGGGCAGTTATGGAACCAAGTTGAGAAGACTTCAAAGGCTAGAGTGAAATGGCGACGTGCTTCTGAAGCCGTATGTTCCACTTGGAACCCAAGGGATAAATAATAGTTATACAAAAGTAAATAAAATCGGTTATCTTTCATAACCTTCGATGTTTATCGATGTCGAATTTCTTTCCATGTAATCACATCGATTACCTTACATTTTGATCAGCCAGCCAAAATATTTGCTATCGTCATGCACTTTGATTGAAGTAAGATAGTTAGCTGGCTAATATTTCAAACAGTTCAATAACAGTGTCTTTAACTGTAGCACTGATTAAAGCCAGTTTGGATCTCTGAGAATGCACCACGTCCTCCAAGGTCAAAGATGCATCATACTGACGACTGCTAAGAAACATGACACTTAAGTCCATAACCTCCTGTCAAATGCCTTCAAGCATTTATGATTCGTCAAAATGTTCTGTAATTATCAGTCTCCTAATCTCGTGATCATGTTGCAAAATAAGTGGTCGAATTCAGCAAGCACTTAAGACTAGACTTTCAAGTCCATGATTAGCATATATTCTTTAAACTATCTAAACAAAAGGAAGTTACTACAAATGGAATCATTTCACTATTGTGTTCGGTAATTTTGAAAACAATCCAACTTCATATTGTTTCGGTTAAACTAAAATATTCGAATCTGACGTTAAACGCATGGTTAACTTTGACCTCACTCACTCACTCACTCACTCACCCACTCACTCACTCACTCACTCTCTTTGTGTAATTTTTGTTTAGTTATAACTGTAACAAGTGACCGGCCATGTGTTAAGGTTTTAGGTTTGATGCTCTTTAGACACTTGACTACACAACGATCTGCGGCAAGGTTAAGAAATTTCAAATTCCTTAGGTGGCTTGAACATTTCCTGGAATCCTGAGCCACTGCCTACCTCGAAGTCTGATGCTACAAGAAGTTAGATTAGGTAAGAAGATGACTCAAAGTGACTACATCTAGACATGATACCGGGGTATCAAGTCTCTTACTGATGGTCTCAGATATCTAGGGAGACGTAGATTATCTGGTTGGGAACCCCGAAGCGACAGGAACCAGGGGGTTGAGGACTCTTCTTAAGATGGCTGAAAATCAGTCACATCGGTGCAGATTTATTAGTTTTATAATGTCTTCTAAAGCTTGGATATGTTGACTAACCATTTTCAAAAGCCCTCTTCTCCCAGACATCATTGTCTACTTTGACATCAGTCCTTTCTGTCCATTTGTTCTTTGAATGCCTCGGTAAAGTGTGGTAACTTTGACGGATGCACTTGTATCCAAGGTTCTACACTGATTTTTTATGTCTGCCCGTCTATCTACCTATCTGTCTGTCTGTAATTAGCCAAAAACGATTTTCACGTAGTTTAGAACAGTATTATTTGATGAAAATGTCTTTAACAGAACTCCTATTGATAAGAGAATTCGTTATAGGAAAAGGGTAGCTATTTATGATCCCCTCTCCAACAAGAACACTCTTAATTTTCTATCTTGAAGCTGTTATCATCCTGTTACAAGTTGTCCATTTCCTGTAATTTGCTCACATGGTACTCGTCAGAAGTTAACTAGACGATAACAGATCTCACGACAGTAATCAGTACAAACTAGCATCAGCTGTAGAGTCATTGAAAGCCCTGGAGTACTGGACAGTGCGCACTCATGACGCTGCCAAGGACCGAACTCACGATTGTTAGGTTTGGCGGCGAGCATGCTAACCAACAAGCCACTGGATCTAAATCTAATGGTCATAATCGAGCACTACTGAGAAGTATCACACTAGGAAGCAACAGCTAGCCAGTACTTCCAGGTTTTCAGTTTTCTTTTCTTATTTATTCTTCTTTTCTACAGACGTGAATGAATGTTCTTCTCATCCATGTGCATTTGGTGCCACTTGCATTGATCGTGTTGGTACATATGAATGTATATGTCCAGAAAGACGTTATGGTCGACATTGTGAAGAAGTTATCATTGAAACAGAACCAAAACCACCAGCTTGTAACTTTTACGGTCGAATATATGATCATAATGACAGCTGGACGTATAGTTGTCAACGATGTCATTGTAATACAGGACAAATCATCTGTACAGATGTAAGTAATATAACATTAAAGTTGAAAATTTTTCATTTCTTTTGGATGAATTGTTTTTTAGGTATTATTCCTTACGGACTGGCATCATTTGGAGAACCATTGAGAACCTGAGAACACTTGACGACTGTTTCATCCTAGAGTGGGATTCCTCAGCAGTACGTGCCCACAATCCAGTTAGGGATCAAACTCTGAAACTTCGAGTTTCAGGGGGAACACGTTAACCATTCACTCACTGGGTTGCATTTCAGCAGTTCACAGTTTCCTGATTCTGTCAATTGGCTACGTAGTGCGACTATTCATGAATATCTTCAGTTGGCATCTGTCTTATATTGAACTAGTTGACCCCACGGTTCACAGCTTGTCATTAGAACTTCGGATATCCATCTGGAGTTTGAGGTCGATAAGGATTTTAATTTTAAGGTAATGTTTCTTATGGACTGGACGGCTGTTTCGTCCCAGCAAGAGACTACCTTGAAAATGTCATGTCACTTAAAGTGAAACTTACCAATTTATCTGTAAGTGAATTTCCATCGTTGACTGAACTAAGTTGATCCACCACCATTGACATCTGAGCTCCTGTATGAATGTCGATATTGATAATGGAGAGTGACTAGCAGTGGAATCCAGGATGCGTGTTTCATCCTATTCAGGACTCATCAGCCTGATGTAACTGCTTCTCAGTGAGTGGTGTGTGATGGCATTACACGAAGATTGACTATCATGAATCAGCAGCTTGGTGTTTCAAGTGATCAGTCCTGAGTTCTAACCTTAGTAGTGTAGTGGATGCTACTGATAAGAATGGATACAAGTAGTATATGTTGAGAGGTCGATAGAAATCATAGACCATTACCAGAAATGGGCAAAGATTCTACCAAGAAAATCGCAAGACACAACGTTGGCGTATTAAGAGCAAGTCGAGACAGAGGCAGAAGAGGAAATGAAGAATATTATGCACATGGCTGTCTTAGTAGAAGGAGTACAATATTTGATGACTACTGTACAAAATGTTAATAATCAATATTCTTTCCTTCGTCTCAGTCTTATGGTTTCTTACTGTAGGAGTAACATCACTCACTAGGAAGCAGATACATCCAGATGATGAGTCTCAACTTTATATCTGAGATTATCATCCGGACTAAGTAAAACTAAACGAAATCGATTACATCGAAACAGTTCTACATCGTCTATTTCAACACCTTTGAATGTTATCATCACAGACCAGAAAGTTTACAGGGATGATTATGAACCGAAAACTGTTGAATTACTACCTGCCTTAAGGACAAGTTGCCACTTTGGGCCACCTCGATGTGTGTCTACAAATTTACTTGCTCCTGTGGAGCTAGTTATATAGGCCACACAAAGTGCACACTTTCCAAACGAATCTCTGAGCACTATACTGTATGGTTGTCGAGGGGAGAATGTAAATCAATTAACAGTTCAATTCTTGAACATTTGGTCAACTCTAGACATAAAGGTAGACCAGAATCTTCTTTCAATGTCATTTATCGTGTCAGATGGATTAGTTGGAAAGGAGTACACCTTCGACAGTTGTGCACAGCAGAGGCACTGGCAATTCATTAATTCAAGCCTGATCTCTGTATGCAAAAGAAGTATGTTCAATCTCTCATCTCTTACCATGGTCTTAACACTTTCATTTTTCCGATTTCACTATGACCCTTGTCTGATTCTTCACCTTCTTTACACCTATCTATCTAGTGGACACTCAATATTTGGCTTTCTTATCTACCAACAATTTTCACCTTGTCAAACTCCTCGCCTTCCTCGATATTTCTACTCTCCTAGATTATTACTCAACTACTTTGCATTCTTGATTCCAGTTTTTTGTAGCACTTGGTTAATGATGTAATTATACCCTATTGTTTTATAATAGACTGTTATATGTTTATGATATATATAAATACGATTGTACAGTTTTAGAAGAAGGATATCGTCGAAAAAGAAAATATTCTCACTTCATTTGAAGTACACTTTTTCAGTAATTGTTGTCAGCCTTGTTCAATGATCACTAATTGAACTATAAGTTTTCTTTATCATAGCAAATTTAACTATCACTGACGGGATCATGATTATGTTCTTTATCTTTTTTCACAGGATTTCTGTGGATATTGGTCATGTTTACAAGCAGCTGGACAGAATGATCGTTTTGCTTGTAAAGATGGTGAAATATGTCATATCTTATCATCTGGGCTAGAAAGTGAATGTTTTGTACCACCGTGTTATTTGCGTACAGTTTGTTTAAATGCTAGTCGATCAATTCCAGAACAATTGAAAATACTATTACCAAATTTTCATTTTCCATCAGCATTACCTGGTTGTCGACCAAATGGTTTAGTATTGAATAATCATTGTGCAAGAATATTATTACGTTTTGAAAAACAGCGTATGTCTTATGCAATTACTGTTGGAGATATTTGTAATGCAGTAAAGAGTTTACCATCATTAAGAAAATACCAGCAACATGGTAGTGGACAAATCGGAATTGGAATAAGTTGTGATGTCAAAGCTGGATTTACTGTAGAACATCAAAGTACAATAGAGGTAAATTTTACACATTTATGTTGTATATTATTATATGTCCCTTGGGTTCCTAGTGGAACATAAGGATTCACTAGGACACCTCCATTCCACTCTCGCATCTGCAATCTTTTCAACCTGCCTTCACGACTGCCCAAAAGCTCTCATTTCTTCCTCACACCATCTCCTCCATGTCACCCTCATCTCGGAAGCCCAACTCGTCGTCTTCCATCTGGGTTCCTCTCGAGTGCCTAGCCTGGCGTGCAATGTCCCCACTCGGTATTCTCAGTGGTTGCCCAATCCATCTCCACTTCCTCCTGCATATTTGTTCAGCGACAGCTTCTTGCTTCATTGGTTCGTTGCCAGCCAGTCAGCCAGCCAGAGTTCCTTGTTGCTCATTCCCATGATTCTCGCCATCTGAGCTTTAGTAACGAACCAGCATAGGCAGCAGTTTTTCATGAATGTCTGTAGTTTGTTGGAACTACCTTTCATAAAGTACTAAGTCTCTGAAACATCGCATAGCAGCACTGACTTGACTGAGGTTGGTGTTGAAAATCGGGATGTTGTTCACACTTTATGCTGAGTGGAGTGCTGTGCAGTGGATCTCCACACTGTTTTCAGGCTAATGAAAGCCTGTCTTGTTGTGTTTCCGATCCTGGCTGCTTTGACATCCTCATCTGTGCCACCGTCTGTAGTTGAAACTATGCTGCCTAGATAGGTGAAGGAGGCTACTTCCTTTAAGTTTCTACTGTTGATGGTGATTGGAGCTTGTTGTTGTTGTTGTTGTTGGTGGTGGTGGTGGTGGTGATGTTGGTTGGGTATCTTCATCACCTCTGTCTTCTGTACGTTCACTTGAAGTCTGGTCTTCGCTGCCTTGCCTCTTCTATCAACTTGTTAGTTTTCGTCTATTGATCTTTGAGTTTGTGTGACATTAGACATAAATTTTCATCAACGAAATCCAAATCCCTAGGCTCTTTTCATTGGTCGAACAGCGTATCCCCTTCTTCTCGCTCCCCACTGTTTGTTGTATGATCCGGTCGACCACAATCAAGAAGATGATGGGTGATAGTAGACAGCCTTGTTTTACTTCTGATTTATTCAGTGACTATCAATTGGTAGTACTTTTTCATGCATAGTACCTAATGATGTGCGTGTTTCCCAATCAGTTAATAGTTTCCATAGTATTGCTGACTCACTGACACCATGAACACCAATGACATTAGTTCACCTATAACATCCATCAGTGTTTAGAATATGCATCGATTGAACTCATCTTGACAACCAGACTGACGATATTTTCAGTTCTGAAGTATTCTTAAGACAACATCCTTCTCAATGAGCATTGGTGCCGTCTTCAAGTCACACTCAGAAACATTTAACAAAGTTTCCATACAGTTTTTAGAGAACACTGAAAGCAAAGTACTACAATAAGACTCCAGTCTAAGTCACATTAAATTCAACCATTTTTTAAAATGAAACCTCAGATAGAACGAGAGTTGGGAATGGTATCACTCTTTCCTGGTCTTATCTTTATATAAAAGTAAGAATGTATAGGGTTGTTATGAGAATTTCTTCATAGTTCCATTCAACCAATGACCTATATTGTTTTTCTAGTCCCACGATATTTAAGTACAAACTGTTTGAAACTAAAGGAAATGGATAGGATTCATAAACTTTTTCTATACCCCACAAAGTTTTAACTTACGGTGGACAATTTGTTGATTGAGATCGTGTGTAACTACTTCAACTATTGTAATTTGGTTGGTTGTGGCTAGCAGGGGAATCCAAGACGCGCATTTCGCCCTATTTGGTACTCGTCAGCTGGATATACCTGCACCCCAGTGAGGAGTGATGTTGTTCCCACTGAGACTTGGACCTCATACCCATCACTTCAGACACCAAAGTGTTATCCACCATCCCACGGAGGAACGATAGCCACTTTTTGTACAATGGCTAGTAGTTATTACTATTTATTGATAAACTTGTAATTCTCCGTCGTTTTATAGAGGAATCCAGTGAATTCCTCTGCTAGCCACAATGAACCAACTCACAATAATTAACACTCAGGCAATATCGAGGCATCCGCATAAGAGCCCATACGCAAATACAGGTCGAGGGGACATCACGCGTCAGGCTATGCACTCGAGCGGAACCCAGATGGGAAACGATGAGTTGGGCGTCCGAGGTGAGGGTGACATGGAGGAGATCATGTGAAGAAGAAATGAGAGCTTGTGGGCAGACGTGGAGCCAGGTTGAAAAGATCTCAGAGAAGAGAGTAGAATGGAGATATGCTACTGAATCCCTATGTTCCATTAGGAACCCAAGGGACAAATGATATAAATATAATATTATAGTAATAATCTGACAAGTTAAATATCAACTGCCTTATTTACCTAATATACAATCGAATTGAATTCATTTTCTTGAATGAATTAGTTTTACTGGCATTCTCTGACTGTTTCTTTTCTCTCTGTGTGTGTGTGTGTGTTTGGAATCTATTCCCTACAGGTAACCCTTAGTTCATTGAATGATCAACTTAAAATTGGTTCTGATGGTAAAGAATACTCATTTATACATGAAATGGCTAGAAATTTGTCTAAAGAAGCTGCTGTCATTACATCAACTAATATAACATTGAAGAAAAATAAATTGAAATCAGAAAATCATCAAAATGATAATTTTCTTTTCACTGATAATGATGATGATGACAGTGATGAGGATATACCATTACCACCAATGGCTATGATGTTAGGAAGTGATCAATTAGATAAATATTGGCATAGAATTCTTCTTGGTATAACTGAAATTCAAGTTGATACAATGGTTGTCAATGAAAATGATTTTGGTAAGTTTGAATTATGAATAACCAATGAACGTTTACTATTCATTTAAGTTAATCATCTTTACTGATAGCGATGGAATCCAACATGCATGTTTAAGACTCACTCGTCAGTTGGATGTAATTGCACCTCAGTCAATTTCATTGCTTCTACTACAACTCTAACCTAGTATTCATTGCTCTAAACGCTAAAACGTTATCCACTAGTCTATTGGGGCAAAACACTCACCTCTTGTGTAACAGAAGTTAATCAATCAATATCAACATAGGACTAGGCATTACTGCGTAACAGTCCGAGTTGCAACACCTCATATCAGCACATCAAGTAAAAAGGCAGTGAGGTGAAATATGAAGATTAGAAAATTCAGTCAAAAGAAATATTAACTACGAAAAGAGATAAAGGAAGAATGAGAAAGTAGTGAAATTCGGTATAGCGTCGTTAAGATGAGGATAATGTGTGTGTATACATCTACACAACTGACATCGGCTCTCAGCCATGTGATCACCTAGAGTCTCCAATCACTGGTTCCTCTTGTCCCACGGACCCCAAACACCTAGTCTGCATCACTCCACACGGCTCGAACCAACAGTCAGAGACTTCATACATTGGTGCCATGTTTCAGTGTGGCCGAGAGCCTCGAGCCTTTTTCCAGCCTGCACCTACTTCGGCCAACATTGTGTGATGAGGCGATCGGCGACTAGGCATACGTAACGTGTGTCCTAACCATCTCACTCAACGAAGGTTCACAACCTCATCAACCGACTTACCTCTTCTCCCTAAAACTCTACTCCTGACTTCTGCATTACTCACGTGTGCGGTGACACCACAGAATACGGCCTATACTATGTAGGCGACGGTGGTCAAACACCTGAAGCCAGCCTTCTCATGTCTTCCACCTTCAATGGTCATGTTTCACAGCTATATAGTAGAAGAGAGTGGACTGCTATGCAGGTACAGTACACGCGACCCTTAATAGACAACCGGATATCACGGCGGTGCCATAGGTGGCGTAAATTGGCGAAAGCCAATCGATCCTTTTGTATCCGTGCAGAGATTTCATCGGCAAGTGACCCACCGGAGCTGAGGAACATTGGAAACGTGGCAGCACTAGATAGTTGTTTCTTCCTAGCAATGGACTCCTCAGCAGTGTGCAGCTATGACCCAGCCCCACCAGGAATCGAGCCCAGTACCTTCAGGTTCCGTGGATAGCACATTATCATCGGGCCATGAGTGAACGCTACCGAGGAGCCCCGTACTGAGATGAAACAGCCGTCCAGTGCTTCCAGGTTTTTAAACTTCCTCCAAGTGATGTCATTCCCTGATGGACACAAAGTTGAAAAATTACGGAAATAAACAGTTACATTTCTTAAATTCCTGATATATAAGTTAGACTCAGGAGATATACCTAAGATTGGTTAATAACACATTTCCTCCTTGGATACATCACCTTTAGAGCTATGACTGATTGGGTTAGATAGTTGACTTTCAACCAATGCGTCACAAGTTCGAACACCTCTCCACCTACTGAGTTCTAGGTAGTCAGGTGGTGTATCATTAGTCATTGCACAATTGGTATGACTCATGGTCTAATTCCCGAGCGTGCACGTGGTTCATGAGTACACCATCACTGGACTATCTGACGAAATGAAAGGCTATCTCCAAGTTAATGCAATATCCAACACAAAAGTTCGCTTTCATACAAGGATATGGATAATGTAAAAAGGAGATGTAGATTATCTGAAAAATGTGATGTATTACCGCTATACATTTCGAACAATCTGATCACACATTTACTTGTTAAGGCATTATATATGAAAACTGGAAGTGGGGGAAGGACACATATGACATAAAGGAATTCAATAGTAAGAAAGATAATGAGAGGAATAAAAGATAAGACTTGAAGACAATCTTGGTAATACGATAAAATAAGCATTACCAAGGTAAGCTTAATGTAAGGACAAACTGTTTTTGTACATACAATGGGGGGTTAAATTTATTTATGCCTAGCGCCTCAACAAACTTAAGTATACACCCCTGACAGTTTCTGTACAAAATTGTAAAGGCTTTTTCGATATCGATTCTGTGACTCTTATCAATGATATGTTTCGCAATGGATGATGATGGTTGTCTGCCATCTACGCTTATCAATGTTTGTGAATCCAGCTGCTTTCGTAGCCACTTTGGAACATATTCCCCTACCCTCAAGTGAATATCACGATTCGTCCTCCCTATGTATGTTTGTCCACACACACACATGTAAATTTATAAACTCAGTGGGATGTGACGCAATCGTTTATACAGCATTGAGGTCTAGGTAGCAGCAGGTGTTTGGTCTTCTCAACTATGATAAGCTTAGTTGCATAATACATTTTGCTAACAGCAACCTTAACCTTCGTCTTAATATTATACTATTAGATTCTCCTCTGTATGGTAACGCGATGTAAACGCATTTCTTCGAAACAGAGTACAGATCAGGTTTGAATCCTCGCTGATTTTTGCAGCGGTTTATGAACTTCAATGGATATCCATTTTCTACTAATGTTTCCGTTAGTATTTTGATATCATCATCCATTGAGTCCTCCGTACAAATATGCTGGATCCTTTTAAATAATTATTATTATTATTATTAGTCCCTTGGGTTCCTAATGGAACATAGGGCTTCAGTAGCACGTCTCCAGTGACCTCTGTTCTCTGAGATCTTTTGAACCTGGTCCCACGACAGCCCACAGCCTCTCATTTCCTCCTCGCATGACCTCCTCCATGTCACCCTCGGACGTCCAACTCGTCGCTTCCCATGGGGATTCCACTCGAGGGCCTGACGCGTGATGTCCTCAGTCGGCCTTCTCAGTGCATGGCCAATCCATCTCCACTTCTTCCTGCATATTTGTTGCGTGATAGGTTCTTGGTTGGTTCGTTCCCAGAGTTCCTTGTTGCTTATTATTCTGGCCATCTGATCTTCAGTAGCGAGCGTAAGCAGTTGTTGATGAATGTCTGTAGTTTGTTGGAAATGCTTTTCTTAATGGGCCAAGTCTCAAACATACAGAAGCACTGAATTGACGTTGGTGTTGAAAATCCGTATCTTGTTCCGCATGCTGAGTGCAGAAGATCTCCACACTGGTTTCAGGCTAGTGAACGCCTGTCTTGCTTTTCCGATTCTGACTTTGACATCCTCGTCCGTCCCGCCTGTAGTTGAAACAGTGCTTCCTAGATAGTGAAGGAGGTTACTTCCTTCAAGTTTCTCCCGTTGACGGTGATTGGAGTTTGTTGTTGTTGTTGATGGTGGTGGTGCGGTATCTTCATCACTTCTGTCTTCTCTATATTCACCTGAAGTCCCGTCTTCGCTGCCTCTTCTGTCAACTTGTTAGTTTTTGCCTGTAGATCTTCAAGTTTATGTGACATTAGGCACAAGTCATCGGCGAAATCCAAGTCTTCTAGGTTCTTTTCCGCAGTCCAGAGTATCCCCCTCTTCTCGCTGCCTACTGTTTGCTGCATGATCCAGTCCACCACAATAAGGAATATCATGGGGGATAGTAGGCAACCTTGTTTCACTCCTGTCTTCACTTCAAAGGCATCACTGAGCTTCCCATTGTGGATTACTTGGCATGTGGCATCTTCATATAGTTGTTGGATGAGGCGGATAATGGTTTGCGGTACTCCGTAGTATTGAAGCAGTTTCCAAATTACTTCTCGGTCGACGTTGTCAAAGGCCTTCTCAAAGTCGATGAAGTTGGGTGGAGAGGTGATTGCCATTCTATGCTCTGTTCTATGATGATGCGAAGCGTTGCAATTTGGTCAGCACATGATTTGTACTTCCTGAAGCCTGCCTGTTCCGGTCGTAGTTTTGAATCCAGTGCATCTTTAAGCCTCTCCAGGATGATGCGGCTTAATACTTTACTTGGGGTGGACAGGAGAGTGATTCCTCGCCAGTTCTTGCAAACACTGAGGTCTCCCTTCTTCGGCAGTTTGACAAGGTAACCCTTCTTCCAATCGCCAGGTACCTTCTCTTCCTTCCACACCTTCTGCAATAGTGGTGTGAGCATGTCCGCTGTTGTCTCTGCGTCTGTTCCCAGTGCTTCTGGCGGTATCCATCTGGTCCTGCTGCTTTCCCACATTTCAGTAGCTTTATGGCGTTCAGGACTTCCATTTTCGTTGGGGATTTATGTTCACTTGTAATTCAGCGGCTGCAGGTGGTATTTCTGGACGAAGTGCAGGTGGTGGTCGATTCAAGAGCTTTCTGAAGTGGTCGGCCCATCGTTTCCTCTGTTTCTCTTCTTTCGTAATTAAATTTCCGACATCATCTTTTATTGGTTTCATCTGTGTTGGTCTCTTCCCTGATAGCAACCTGGTTATTTGATACAATGTCGTCAGGTCTCTCTTACCTGCAGCCTGTTCTGCTTCACTTGCCAGTGTTTCGTAGAAGTGTCTTTTGTCTTTTCGTGCACTCTTCTTTACTTCTTTGTTCAGTGTTTTATACATTGTGCTTAGTTCCTCTTGTCGTTGAGCATCCTTGCACTGGTTATCTTCTGCTTCACCATCCTCCTCTCCTCTATCAGCTTCCAGGTATCCGTCGAGATCCATTCCTTGTCTTCCACCTTCTTCCTTCCTAATACGACTGTGCAGGTTTCTTTCCACATAGCTTTCAAAGACTTCCAGTGTTCTTCTACACAGGTTTCTTCAGGGATGTTCCTCGATATCTCCCATTTTGTCTTGATGGCTGCCTTGAAGATCTCCTTTGTAGTTTCATCCTTCAGTTTCCGAGTGTTGAACTTGAATTGAGGTCTATCACCAGCTTCCTTGAAGGCTTTTAACTTGATTTGGAAGGTTCCTTGCACTAGATAGTGGTGTGAACATACATCTGCTCCTCTTCTTGACCTTGTGTTAAGTAGACTGCATCTCCATTTTCTGAGATTGAGATAAAGTCGATTTGATTTTTAGTGTGTCCATCTGGTGAAGTCCATGTCGCTTTGTGGATATCTTTGTGCCTGAACACACTGCCTCCAATCACCAAATCGTTGAATGCGCAGAATTCTGCAAACAATTCTCCATTCTCATTCATTTCACCTAGCGCCTCTCGACCCATGGTTAGTTCTCTTCCTGTGTTGTCTCCTCCCAGTTTGGCATTCATGTCGCCCATTAGAATTTCGATATCGCCAACTGACGTCTTGTCCAGTGTTGATTGAAGTTGTCTGTAGAATTCCTCCTTCTTCTCTTGCTCTGCATTATTTGTAGGTGCATAGCATTGTATGATTGTGACCTTTCTTCCTTTTGAGTTGAATCTTGCTGTCATGATCCTGGAGAGATTGGTTCCCACTGCATGAGAGCCTTCGATGCTCTTGAGGACATCATGATAGCCACTCCATAACTCAGTGTGCTGGTGGTTGTCGTCTGGGTGACCGGAGTAGATTATTGATTCTCCAGTTGACAGTTTGGAGAGTCCACTCCCATTCCATCTGCTTTCGCAAATCCCAAGCACTTCGATGTGATACCTTCTCATCTCCTTTGCAATTGGCTGCCTTGCTGGGTTCAAACATGGTGCGGACATTCCATGTCCCCACGTTTACTTTCGCTTTCATCGAGGGAGAGAAGACACATCGGCCAATTGGCTTCCCGAAGGCTTTCACCAACTGGCGTCATTTCGCCTCTCCGATTCCAGCGGGGAATAAATTTGTTTTCATTTTTTATATTTTGTTTGTGCTTTGAAGTTTGTTTAGCGGTTAGATTTGTTTTACGGGGTAGGGTTGCTAGCCGTATGCCCAACCTTCCCTCTTTACCGGGCTTAGGACCGGCTAGTAACTAGTAGACTAGTTAACCAGGCGAGGTTAAATAGACAAGTTACCAAACCTGTATTGGGTTGTATTGGGTTGGACAAAAGCTATGGAAACTTAAATACTGACCTGTCCAAGTAGGTTTCCTGTAGATCGACCGTTTTATTGAACCATCATTTCTACAACTTAGGAGTATATTTAAGAATGGCAGACGGTTTTCTTTTTCTTCTTCACTTGTCAGGCTTATGTTGTTTTGTACGTTGTTAAGTCTTTGTAACAAACATGTCGCATCTTCATGCTTATCATATATCACGATTATATCATCAACATATCTTTTATAGAGAGTAACTTTATTGATGAGATCGCCGGTTAAGCCTTGAATATATGACATGCAAATATCAGCTAGCAATGGTCCTAAGAGACTTCCCATAATTACATTATCCAAATTCATAAAAGGGACTAATTGTTTCAAATGCAAGGATATATTTCTTGACAGATTACCTTACCATAATATAGTTAATGAATATCATGGAAGCGTTTTAATCCCGGTAGATGATAAACTACAAAATCACGGCATTCATGATTGTTATAAGCGCTAATCTTCTCTTTAAATATTACTAATCGATAGTGGCTATCCCTGGAATCTAGAACATACTTTTTGTTCTAGTTGAAACTTGTCAGCTAAATGCATTTGCCTTTCAATCAATGAGACTCTAACCCAGAAATCCCTACATTATCCACTAGGCTATTGAATCATCATATTTACTCCTTGTCTTTTATAACAATGAATTCATAAAATTACCAATAACTAATCAACGTTTTTCATCTTTTATTTCAGGTCCACGTTTATTAGTGCCTATAGTATGTGCTACAATACTTCTTACTGCTCTTATATGCATCTTTATAATATGTTGTTACTCTCAAAGAAAACGACGTGAACTATTAATGAAATATGCACCAACAATGAAACCAAACAATGAATCGTCTAATTTCATTCAGTATTTATCAGATAGCAACAATTTAACAACTAACTATAATAATCCAAATAAACTAATCAAACAGATCAGTACTTCATCTACTAATCAAAGATATATTTCACATTTACCTCAAGTAAACAATGATTCATTATCACAAATACAAAAATTTACATCACCTCAATTATTCAATTCAAGTAGAAGACGGATATTACTTCAGAATGAGAATAATTATAACATTAATCAAGGGATATGTACAGTTAATGTGAACAGACTTAACATGAATAAAATATGATATGGATCACTTATGATATAAAGACTATTTCAATTCTCTATTTAAGAACCTTATTCAACTACCAGTCATAATAATCATACAATTTGTACTGGGTGATGATTGAAGGTGAGATGAAGATCTGGACCGCGACCGGACTCGAACCAGCGACCACTGAGTTACCCTACCCGGTGCTCTATCAACTGGGCTACGTGGTCCAACTGCTGACTAGAATTTTATTCCACTTCAATCACCTCACAACCCAGTTGGTACAGCATCAGGTCGGTAACCTGATGGTCGCTGGTTAGAATCCGGCGGCGGTTCAGATTTTCATCTCACCATCAATCATCACACAGTAGAAATACTATTCTGCCAAACTACCACCATCTCAGATGGTCGAATCATAATCAATATGATCCTCCTCCTCTCTGATTCAGTTAGATTTGGATTGGGATGAGAAGTTCTAACTAAACAGCCAGTGTGAATACGATCAAGCGGTAGTAACACGTCAAGAATTCACCTGGTAATCGGGCAAAACCTTTGGTGATTGGAGTGAAATAAAATTATGATCAGCAGTCGGATCATGTGGGTGAGTCGATAGAGCACCCGGCTGGTAACTCTGTGGTCGCTGGTTCGAACCCGGCCGTGGTCCAAATTTTCATTTCACCTTCAGTCATCACTCAGTACAAATACTAGTCTGCCAAACTACGGCTATCTTAGATGGCTAATTGTACATATAATTTATCTTATTGAATACTTCTGAATAGTTGAATAAAATTTTTTAATAATTTTCTTTGAGTATAATAACTCTAAAATAAATGGAATACGTGAAAATATCGTGAACAGTGTTATTACAACTCGATAAAAGGAAGATAGGAAAGTTGAATTAGCATGACCGGTTGTATTATTTTGATAAAAAAAGATATGTGGTTACAGCGAAAAAAACGTTTTCTTTTCGACAAAGTCATTTACTAAGCTGTACATTCAAGAATATATGTTACACTGAATGACAGAACGTTCCACAATTATTTCCCGTTAGGAGGGGAAATATATTGGAATGTCTAAAGGAAGTTAATTAATACATATTTGGACTTAGAGTACGAAAATAGCCAAAGGATTATGGAAATACATGTATAGTTACCTAATACAGGGTGAATCTGGTTTGAATTTCTGCTTGGCTAGTACTTCAGCTAAACACAAGTGACTTCGAGGAATTTGATTGAACCCTGTAGACAATTTTGAATAGGCTCTCAAAAGGAGCTAAGTGGCCTGAGATCATGAGGTGTTCTGTTATTCAACTGAAGATACATTTCCAATGTCCCTTTGCTAATCAGTCTGGGTAGTGTTCATGGGCATGTTTTACAACCGGATGCATGGTACAGCCGATGTACTCAGCTCCAAAAGATTCAGAAAACTGGTATACACACACAGTAACTAAAAGGTTTCTTACAGGAGGAGATAATTCGAAGGTTGGCGGTGAAGTATGTTCTATTTAAGGATTTCGACTGTTGTTTCCTGAAGATGTCTACAGCAATATGAATTGAAGATTCAACAAAAGAATCTTTTTTTGGCGCTAAATGTGTTCGTTCAACTGGTTTCTATGAATTTGAGCGGGAAACCGTTTTCCGCTAGAGTTCGTCAAAGTAACCGGTAATATTTGTAGAACGTTCTCCCCACAGTAACATATATTGAATAATGTACAACCACCTTTTACCTTTTAATATAAAACGATACTCTACTTAAAACTTATTAAGTAAGCTCAAGGGGTTTGACTCAACTACTTAGCATTCGTGTTTCCAAACAAACCACCTATTAATGATATACAATTTTGGTAGAATTAAACTTTCGTAACGAGACACCTTGAGGACAACAAGTCAGGATGAGAATGACTTATTCAAGGTCATTCATCATGTCCATTTAACGTGTTGTAGATGCTGCATAAAACTTTAATCAGTTATGACGAAGATTATGTTGCAGGTTAGATATAAAATCTAGTAGAGTAGTCAGTCTGGTTGAAATATGTGAATGTCTTGCTTGGATAAGTTATAATGTACCCAATGTCAGATGTAGAGTTTTAGACAGGCGAGGTAAGACAATTGACACGGTTGTAAAGTTTCAACGAATGAGATAGCTGGCTGGGACGCGTCACGCATTCCTAGCGACTGTCTACCTCGTCACACAATGTTAGTTAAAGTAAGTTCAGTCCTGAAAAAGGCTCGTGGCGGTCAGTGTGAAACATAGTATCAATGCATGAAATCCTTAAATGTTGGTTTGAGCCATGTGGCGCAATGCAGACTAGCTGGGGTCCGCGAGACAAGAGAAACCAGTGGTTGGCTCAGAACTGATGTCAGTGGCACAGATACATACACATATTACCCTTAACCTAACCGCTACACCTAATCTCATCATCTCATTCTTCTTTACTCTCTCTTACTACTTTATACTCCTTTTGACCGATTTCTTTTACCTTCAGCTTCTATTTTACTGCCTTGTTACTTGATGTGGTGATATGAGGTATGGCAGGCAAGTAGGATCGTTGCGCAGAAATGCCTGGTCCTATGTTGACCTTGATGATGATGATCCAATGTATATAAACACACATGTCTTGAAAAACCACAGGTTCTTGGCAAATACGATCGAAATACAAGGAAAGAACATTTTCGGTGATAAAGGATATATTTCAAGTTGTTATTCATCGTAGACTGACATCAGTTGGAGGAACAAGGGAAACCCGGGAGCACTGGACAGTTGCTTCGTCCTAGTATGGTACTCCTCAGCAGTGCGCATCCACGACCCCGCCAGAGCTCGAACCGGCGACCTTCAGGTCGATCCCTGGCGGGGTCGTGGCTGCGCACTGCTGAGGAGTACCATACTAGGAAAAATAGTGGATATGTTGATCTTGTAATGGTAGCTCTACAAGCATTATCACTGGGTCCTACGTTTTGTGATAGTTATATTACACCTAATAGAATAGACACTCAAGTTCAGTTTGAAAACTTGTACTCACATAGTTTGTTTTAGTAAAGGTACAATAGTTAGAATTGTTATAGTCTCCCGGGGAAAAGAGGTAACATATGAGTGAGTGGAACGAAGAACAAATGAACAATAGTTAATCAGAGAATCCGTCTTCGTAACTCAGATATATTAAATGACCTTCTTGAATTTGGGGGTTTATGGCAATCTAGTGAATTTTCAAGTTAGTATTCATCATGGGCTGACATCACTTGGAGGGACATTGGAAAATTGGGAGCACTGGATAGCTGTTTCATCCCAGTACTAGTCTCTTCATCAGTGCGCACCCGTAACCCTATCCGGCCAGGGATCGAACCCAGAACGTTAGGGTTCTATGGCCAGCACGTCGCCGTTGAGCCACTGTGTCGGAGGAATCCAATGGCTCATATTTCCAACTTTTATCAGTTCACGACATGGCTCGACCATCACTCAATGTCATCTTTGACTATTTGTCCTCAGGGCTACCAGGTCCCATCCACCGGTGATATTGGATGATGGTCGCACTATGTCGTGAACCGACGGAAGTTGGAAATATGGACCACTGGATTCCGACCCAATGGCGACGTGCTGACCACAGAACCCGAAATTCCTGTGTTCGGTCCCTGGTTGGTGGGGTCATGGATGGACACTTCTGAGGAGTCCCATACTAGAACAAAACAGCTGTCCAGTGCTCCAAGGTTTCTAGTGTTCTTACAAGTGATATCAATCCATGATGAATACCAACATGGTAAATGGATTTCTGGATTGATACAATATGTTGATCTGGCAAACCTTAGGTTTATTGAACACAATCGCAGTTTGAGCTAACGTGCATCAGGTAACAAATATCCATAGAGAAAGGTGAGGCTGTAATCAATGCACTTTTGTCCAGGTTAAAAACCTCCCTGGCTTTATTTTACCTAATATCCTGACTAGATTTCAAATTTTTCTAGATTTCAGAGTTGGACTGGATGAACAACGACTTTGACTGGTCTAGGAAGACTGTCTGTACGTATTAAATCTCACCAAGTATTCTACTTATGCTGATGGTGATTTGTAACTGCCATCTTTTACAACTTCAGGCGGCAGACCATCCAACCTACTGCTTCGCCCTACTTAAGATTTGAAACAGTGTCTTGAAATCTAGCATACGTTAAGTGACTGATAACTATATCCTACTGAAGCTAATGATGGATAATAAGCATTTCAAGTATAGCTAAGAGCCAACAGAATCGGCCTTTAAAGTGCTCCGCCAACCTTCAAACCAACGTTCCGTATTCTCAGCGGGAATTCACCATTTTTCACCATACTCTAACTGACCATCACGTTTTTATGATTAGTCTTTCTAGTGAATCCCCATAACTGTTGAGTGACGCCTAGTGACTATGTTTCCTCAATCTCTTTCATTTTTCTCAACCACTGCTGCTTACAGTCAACACAGACGCTTTGAATTAGTTCACTTGTAATCACTAGGTTATTCCTCCTTTTCTTAGGCTAGAATTTCCATTTGTTACCTTGATTTACTTCAAGTAGGAGTCTTCTAGAAATACCCTAAGTTTAATGCGACAAAGAACTTATCACATTGACTTCTTAAGTTCGGTCCCTTAATGAATGAATACTTGGTGAATCACTGAAATACAGAGATAGGTTTTTTGCTTTTTGCTTTTCTAGAGTATATCATGTCTTAACATTCGTAATCTTGGTGCCATGGGAGTCCACGAAATACTGGATTACGTAGTTTGGGTAGTTGTCACTTCCCGGCTACCTACATCATGAAATGTTATTTCTTCACCACAGAGTCCATAGGACATCTGCATGAGGTCTATCATACACAGCATATTTAAAAATTGTTGTTGAGAGATTTGATTATTCTAATGATACATACCACATACCAAGTGATCTACATTGGGAAGCTCAGTGACGCCTTTGAATTAAAGACAAGAGTAAAACAAGGTTGCCTACTATCACCAATGATCTTCCTGATTGTGGTCGACTGGATCATGCAGCAAACCGTGAAGAGCGAGAAGATAGGC